GAACAATGGCCAGAAGCTGCTGGAGAATAGGTTCAGGTTAGAGATTAGGAGGCACTATTTCACTGTTAGGTTGGCTAGGATCTGGAACCAACTTCCTAGGGAAGTGGTCCTCGCTCCTACCTTGAGTAAATTAAAAAAGAAGTTGGACAAACACCTGTCTGGGGTCGTCTGATACCAGCATGTGCTCCTGCCAGTGGTGGGGGGGCAGACTTGATGATCTATAAAGGTCTCTTCTGACCCCAAACTACTATGAAACTATGAAATTTCCTGGAGGTCGCTAGCCAAGGACTGGGTTACAACCAAGGAATGAACAACCTCAGGATTTAAACCTCTTTTGTTACATCCAGACGAGTGTGGATGTTTCGTTCCCCAGGGACAACTAGCAGTGGCACACCTTGTGTTGTTACTAGTTGTCTCCAGAGAATGCCTATGCTACGTGCCCTCTGGCACATGGCAGGTTACCCTGGGTGGGAAAGGGGAGTCTGGGGCCAGCAACTGTGCTGGACCTAACAGCCTTACCTAGGGCCCTGGGGGCCAGGTAGGCTGCAGCCATGTTGCTTCTGAAGCTGGGAGCCTGGACAGCAGATGGAGTGTGACTCCAGCTGGCCAGACTCGTTTTGGACGGTGCACGCTGCCTCCACGTGCACCACCCTTCTTTTTTTGTGCATGGGCTTTTTGATCCCAGGATCTCCTGGAGTCAACTGCCCCCTGCACTGCAAGGTAGCATGGAAATGCCTGAATGGGCAGTGTGTGGCACCGCAGATGGGTCTGTGGTGCCACATATCGCATGGCCATGCTCATCTACACACAGCCTTTGAGGCTATCATAACTTGGATTTTGCAAGATGTATGTTATGTGGAAAAGCCTCCAGTTCCTAGCTGTTAACCAAGAATTCCAGTCTTGTAGACTGAAAATTACAATGCAATATATTTTGTGGTCATTCATATGATCACACACTGATGTGTAGTTGACAAGTTGATGTTTACATTGATAGGTGTATTATTCAGTTTAGATGTTGCTTTACTCTATTCTGTTTTTATTTAACCCTCAGAAAAATATCATCGACTGGCAAATTAGTACTGACCCTTACAACTGATGCTTGTGAAGGGAAAGAAAACTTTGTCCGCTACCTTGAACATGTACAAGCAGTCATAACTGTGAACTCTACTAGGCGAGGAGACCTCAACATCAACATGACATCACCTATGGGGACTAAATCCATTTTACTGAGCCGACGTCCAAGGGATGATGACTCCAAGGTGGGGTTTGATAAATGGCCTTTCATGACAACACACACTTGGGGAGAAGACCCCAGGGGCACTTGGGTCCTGGAGATTGGGTTTGTTGGTAGTGTGCCACAGAGGGGAGTACTGAAGGAATGGACATTAATGCTACATGGGACACAAAGCGCACCATATATAGACCAAATAGTAAGAGATTACCAGTCCAAACTGGCCATGTCCAAGAAGGAAGAGCTGGAAGAAGAATTAGATGAAGCAGTAGAGAGAAGTCTGAAGAGTATACTGAGCAAAAACTAGCATTGGTCTGCATGTTTGTCTCTTTCCTTTCCCAGTCCTCTCTTCTCACCTTTCTACTATCCAATCTTCTGTGTTAGGCATATTACAATGGTTGTCTCTGTAGCCAAATTATCATACTTTCTTGATTTTAAAGTCTTATATCTTGTTGATGATTATTTTAATTACAACTGAAGCAATCCTTGTTTTTTACTCTAAATGACAAATCTATTGTTCCTTACCAACTATTATGTACAGTTTGTGACAATAAATTATCTTTTGTGTCATACAAATAAGTAATAACTTGCAAACAAAACCATAATAGCTTTT